TGTTCCTTGGGAATTTACAGGAAGGGGCTGTCTATGAGAGCTCAGGAAATCAATGTTGCCACTCGTAACTAGAACTGAAAAGGAGTTTCCACTGCACGAAATGAAATTCATCCAAGAGAATCTCAGAGTATCGAAACAGCTGAAAGATGATTCTTAAAACAAAGACCCAGGACTGGAGAGATGGCTCACTGATTAAGAGCATTTGCTGCTCTTGCAGAGGACCCAGGTTCAATTCCCAGCCATCTGTAACTCCAGTTCAGGGGATCTAGTTGATGCCCTCTGTGAGCACCAGGTACTCAGGTGATATGCAGATACACAATCAGGCAAAACACTGATACACATAAAATTAAAAATAAATAAACCTTCAAATAAAAACCCAAAGACCCACCCCATGCCTTTAATCCCAGCACTCCGGAGGCAGAGGTAGGTAGAGCTCTAAAAGTTCGAGGCCAGCCTGGTCTACAGAGCAAGTTCTAGGACAGTCAGGGCTCCACAGAGAAACCATGTCTCACAAACAAACACAAATGTCGAAGACCCAAACCTATGTATCAAAGAACTGAGTACTTTGATTGACAGTCTACTTAAAATTGCCCCCAAACAATGAACTCCTCAGCAGCCTTCTTTTTGTTTATTCCCAGGCTCTGTTATAGAGTCATTCCAGATGAGCTGAGCCAAGACTGTTCAACAGAATGTTCTGCAGTAATGGACCCATTGTCTACCTGTGCCATGTAACACAGTACCCATTAACCACAGTGGCTGAGAACTTGGCACTGAGGCAGCGTAACTGAGGAATTGACTTTTAGGTTTTATCTAAACATAAATAGCCACAGGTGGCCATTGTAGTGGCATGGCAGGTCTATATGGCAATTATAGCCTGCAGCTTAGGTGATGTATTGTGTTTTAGTTTGGGGGTTTGCTTTCCTTCACACCAGAGGAGAGTCTGGGTTATATCTGGCTTTTTTTTTTTTTCACAATTTTGAGTAATGTCTTTTTTCCTCCTCAGTATAGCAGGGCCATAAGAAGCTGGTTATAATGTCCCTGAAGGCTCTACCAGCAATTTTTGAAATAACTTTTAATTTCTAGATTAATTCTTCAGGGAAGTTTTTAATAGTTTTAGTAGAACTGTTTGGTTTGGGGTTGTAATGCTCCACTGGGGATTGAACCTAGGGCCTCTGACATGCTAGCACAACCACTCTAGAGCTCAGCAGCACCTTCATTCCAGTACAATTATTTGCTTTTATAGATTTTTGCTTCTTTATTGTAGGTATGTGAGTGTTTTGCCTGTATGTATGTATGTATGTATGTATGTATGTATGTATGTGCACCATGTGTGTGCCTGGTGACAACAGAGGCTAGAAGGAGACATCAATCCCCTAGAAGTGGAGCATCACACCATTGTGTGAGCCACCACATGGCAAGTGCTCTTAACCACTGAGCCATCTCTCCAACTTCATGGTAGAATTGTTCCGAAAAATAGCTATTTCAAGAATTGAGCACTACAAATCCCATCACACAAGAAGTATTTATTCTTCTGGGTTACCTCGTAAGGACAATGATGTTGCAGAACCCTTCATTTATGCCCCGAGCTCCCAGTGGTTGTGATTGAACTCAAGGCCTTGTACACCGTAAGGGAGCATTCTCCACTGAGCTAAGTGCTGCTTATTTTTACTTGTATGTTTCCAAAGGTGGGCCAGAGTACTCAGAAAATGAAGCAAAAAGTAACAACGGGAAAGAAGAAAAATGCAGTTAAGGCATTTTAAACTAAATAGGAGGCTACAGCCTTGAGGCTGTCACTGGCCTTTGAGTTCCTGCCCAAAGAACTGCAGCCTACTCTAGTATGTAAAGAAACTGCAAGCGTAACTGGCAAGTATAATAGCCAAGCCTCAGCCAATCACAGTGTTCCAAGTGAACGGACGATATACACGAAGTCCCATTTGGAGCGGCATCCAGCCAACCCATTTCTACCCATTTGTGCTTCCTTTCCATGCTATCCATATTGCCCCGAGAATGCGCTGTATTTATTTTTTGTCCGGTTCTGGGCACTGCCTAATTCATGAATAAGTCTTTGCTCAAATAAATTCTACTAAAATTAAGATATCCAAAAATTATTCTTTTTTTCTTTCTTTTTTTTTTTTTTTGGTTTTTTGAGACAGGGTTTCTCTGTCCTGGAACTCACTCTGTAGCCCAGGCTGGCCTCAAACTCACAGAGATCCCCCCTAGCTCTGCCTCCCGAGTGCTGGGATTAAAGGCGTGTGCCACCACTGCCTGGCAAATTATTCTTTTTTTAACAAGCAAAAGAGTGACAAAGATTCTTTGTAAGCCAAACTCAAGTCAGGCTCCTAAAACTTCTCCTAGGCCTTATGCGTGCACTTCTTCGTAAATCAGCTTTAGCAGAGTCCTGCTACTTGAATTGACCCACAGCTGCTCACCCTCGATATCCAATCACCCTCAGCATTGGCTCCAGTCCCTCATTCTGCACTAACCACCTCTGCCTACAAACCCATACTGTCAGCCCTTCGGCAAAATTCCTATTGGGTCCCATCCTGGTTTGCTTTCTGCTGCTGTGATGAAAAATGCCTGAAGGGACTCTGGCCAGCTTGAGCGTGTTGAGCATGGCTCTGGCAGGCCTTGCCCTTCTCCCCGATTCTGCTGCCTTGCTAAAAACTGCTTGCTTACATTCCTAAAGCTGGCCCCCAAGGTCTATTCCCTTATTCAGCTACTACCTCCTCCTGAGGTTGACCACCAGGGTCCAGCTATCTAAGTATTAAAGTCCAGCAATCAAAAGCCCCCTTTGGCTCACCTAACTACCATGCCCAATTAAAATTAAACATCTCATCCTAACGTGAGGGTGGGGGTGGGGGTTCCCCCTGTATCTTTATAAACTGCCATGTCTCCTCTCTATCCAGAGGCAGTCCTTTGTCCTCCAGGACAAACACCCCTGTCCCCTTTCCCTTGTTCCCTTCCCCTTCTCGCTCATCCTTATCTCTTGTCTTTGTCCCTTATCCCTGCCCTCTGTCCCTCCGGTGCAAATATATCTTCTTTGTGCTGAGAACTCCTGGGGATCCTGATCCACACACTGATACATTTCCTTTCAGTGGCCAAATGCAACTTGGGGCTGAAAGGATTATTTCATATTACAGGTTACAGTTCATGGCTGAAGGAAGTCAGAGCAGGAACTTGAAGCAGAAACTGTGGGGAAATGCTGCTTACTGGTTTGCCCCCAGAGACACATCAGCTACTGTTCACATACAGCCCAGATCCAAGGATAATACTGCCTTCCCACAACGGGCTGAGCCCTCCTACATCAATTAGAAATCAAGAAAATGCCCCCCACGGGTCCACAGGCCAATCTGACAGTTCTTCAATTGAAGTTCTCTTTTCCAAATGTGTCAAAACAACAGCCAAGACCTGATGTTTTGTGGGCCATACATAATTTCAGAGAACTTCAACATCAAACGGGGCTATTTTCTGAGAGTGCTGGACCATAGCAAAAAACAAGACTCCTAGACTGGGCATAGTGATATACCCCCATAGTCTCAGCACTTGGAGAACAAGAGGAGGATCCTGAGTTTGAGGACAGCCCGGGCTGCATAGTGAGTTCTAGGCCAGCCTAGACTACAGAGTGAGATTCTGTATTAAACCAAACCAAACCAAAACCAAGATTCCTTTGTAATCATGCCCTGATATTAATGTAGTCCAAAACATAAAAATAATCAGACATCCCCTATCCTTCCTGATCAGCGTGAGTCCCTTGTCCTCTCTCTACTGAGGTAAAATCTATTACGTTCATCACAGAACCGCCCTGCTTTCTGATTGTATCCAGTGCACAGAATTGGAAGAGTTTGCTTCCTTAAATCTTTCCCTCAGATTATTTTGGAACTGGAGGTTGACAAAGTTGACTGCCACATTCTCTAGTTCAATCGCCACTGATGTTTTGTTTTGTTTGGTTTGGTTTTGGTTTTTCAAACAGGGTTTCTCTGTATAGTCCTTGATGTCCTAGAACTCACTCTGCAAGTCAGACTGGCCTCGAACTCAGAGATCTGCCTGCCTCTGTACCACCACCACCCAGCCCACCACTGGTTTTAATGAATCCTTGCAGGCAAACAATATGCACAGGTGAATTCAAGTTGATCATGACTAATTAACGAATGTTTACTACTTTCATTCATTTATCTGGTGCATGCTACAGAGCAATGCTTGTTGAACTAATTACTGTTAACTATGTCAGTAATTATGCCTTGTCTTTTTGTTGCCTTTTATTTATTTAGAGATAGGGTCTTATATATGTAGCCCTGGCTGGCCCTGAACGTGTGGAGATTCTATTTCTGCCTCTGGAGTACTTGGATTAAAGGCCACTGCGTTAGTCATTTTTATTTTATATTGATGGTTTAAAAAAAAAATTATTACAGGCCACCACCTTCAGCCATTTATACTTTATTTTATTGTTCTGGTGGAAGTTTTATTTTTATTTATTTAGGGAGGCGAGTATCGTGTCCGGCCTTTTAAAAAGTTTGGACGAGGCTGGCTTCGAACTCGGGATCCTCCTGTCCCGTTCTTTATTCTTTAGCACTTGCCTACCGGTATCCATCACCACGGCCCGCCTGTTTTTGTTTTGTTCGTGTGTTTTACTGTTTTGACAGAAAATAAAGAGTAAGTCGGAGGGCACGCCAACAAACTTTGCCACTGAAAAACCGCAGCCACGATAGTTTCACTTGGTGGCTCAGCTTCTCCCTCCGGGAACAGCTAGGAGACCGCCCCCACCCCTTCGGATCGCTCTGCGCAGGCGCTATTTCCCGGGTCCGGCAGCGTCAGGCCCCATGCCGGCGTGCTCTCGCCGGAATGTTTAGGACTGGTGGAGGTTACGTCATCCGGTCCTGAGAACCGGAAGTTCCCCCCCCGCGCGCGCGCAAGGAGCTAGGGCGGTGCCTGCGCTTCCGGCGGCGTGAGGACACTAGGGCGGTGCCTGTGCTTCCGGCGGCGTGAGGACACTAGGACGGCGCCTGCGCTTCTGGCCCCGCTGAGGACGTTAGGGCGGTGACCGCGCTTCTTGGAGAGCGGCCTTCCGCCATTTCCGTTAGCTCGCCCCCGCTGAAGGGCTAACTCCGGTTTCCAGCGGAAGCCCATCCCCGCTCGCAGAGGCGCTCCGTCGCGCCCTGTGCCTGGGCGGCTCTAAGGTTGAATTCCCTCCTCCCCTTTAGCTGAGGTCCCTTGGGCGGGCCGAACGGCGTGTCGCCATTGCGCGTCTGTAGGCCTCAGGGCCGCACCACGGGGATGGATTTCTTCAGGCTTTGTTTAGTATTCAACCCCACCCACCGGAATCTCTCTGGGCGGGCCTTCCTGTGGAGCTCGACTGTTAGGTAGTTGGGTATAACCTAGTGCTAGAAGGTTCGATTCTCCCCTTCGCTGTTGAGAGACTTAAACGTATGGGTTACTGCTGGTTTGTTCCCAGAGTTTCTGGAAATTTCCACCATGAACATTCCTGTCGTTTTTCTTCGCGTTTAGGCTATTTTAGTACAGATGTGTGTACGCCCTTCCCATAATAATTCCATATTTCCAAGCGTCTGAGTGCATTTAGGCAAAACATTGTAGTACCTACTCATACTATAAAAGCTTTTATATGTCCACGCAATTACATATACATATATGTGTGTACACATATCCATACTCATGTGTCAACAGTAAAAATGTATAAGCATTTTATCAGCATATGTTCTAGGACTGAATTACAACTGCCAAGAAATGTGTCTGATCTGAATTGGAATGTGTTACAAATGTAAAGCACAACAGATATTTGAGAATTAACACAAATTAAAATACCCGTTTATATCAGATTTTGAAAGGACAGTATTGGGGTGTGGCTTGGATGTAGCTCAGTGGTAGAGCACATATTTTAGTATGCACAAGACCTTGGGTTTGATCCCCAGCACCACATTTCTCTAAAGGAAAAAATATTTAGATATACTGGGCCAAGTAAAATTATAATTAATCCTGCCAGTTTTTAACATGACTATTACACATTTTAAAAAATTATTTTTGTGGCTTGAAATCTTTATGTGGGACAGCATTGCTCTACGAAAAGCGTTAACAATGTCCTGTGGCCAAATACAGACTGCCCATTTTCTGCTTTGAAATAGGGTCTCTTGTAGCCCTTACTGGCCTTCACCGGCTTTGTACAGTGCTGGGGGGAGGGCAAACTCAGACCCCTCTGCACGCTAAGTTAGCGCTGTGCAAACTGAGCCTCATCTTCAGCACCACCACCCCCCCCCCCCCTCAACCATGCATGCCTGGAAAACAGAGGACAACTTAGATATCTTTCTCAATTACTGTCCTCCCCATTTTGTTTTTGAGACAGGGTCTGCCACTGAACCTGAAACTCACCAGTTCAGCTAGACTGCCTGGCCAGTGAACTCCAAAGGTTCACCTGTCTCCCTTCCATTGCCGGAATTACAGGTGTGTACCATAACATAAGCCTGGCTTTTTGTGTGGATGCTGAGGATCCAGACCCAGGTCCTCATTGCACAGCAAGCAGTTTACCAGCTGAGTCATCTCCCCAGTCCCAGCCTGCATATTTGATTATGTTTTATTGTATGTGGATGCCTGGGCATGTGCACCTGAGTGCCAGTGCCATTGGAGGCCAGAGGCATCAGATCTTCCCAAAGCTGGATTACAGGCAGTTGTGAGCCACCCAGTGTTGGTGCTGGAAACTGAACTTGGGTCCTCTGCAAGAGCAGTACATACTCAACTGTTTAGCCATTGTTCCAGCCCCATTCAGTATTTGTTGTCTGTTCTTTCTTCTACCAAAGTAACAGAGTTGAAAAGTCCTGTACCAGAAGTCTAAAGTACTTCCTATCTGTCCTTTTACAGAAAATATCTGCTGACCTCCTGTCCTGGAACGACACCTGGTATGGTAGATATTAAATCTTTTTAAAATGCTTTTTTAGAAAAAGTTTCACTATGAACTCAAGCCGTCTGGAATTGACAACCCTCCTGTCTTAGCCTCCTGAGTGCTGGGATTATATGTGTGCTAGAATACCTGGCATAAATTATTTATTTATTTTAAAATTACATTTATTTATTGTGTGTGAATGCACATGTGCCATGTTGTCCATGTAGAAGTCAGAGGACAACTTGTCAGTTCTCTTCCTCTGTTATGTTCTAGGGATTGAACTCACATGGTTAGGCTTAGTGGTAAGAACTTTTACCCACTGAGCCATCTTGCTCGCCCCTGGCTAATTTTTTTAAACCTTCTATTGTATATTTACATAATTGTCAGTCACTTTATAAAGATTAAGCCTGCCTCTGCCTCCTGAGTGCTGGGATTAAAAGCATGTACCGCCGGGCGGTGGTGGCGCACGCCTTTAATCCCAGCACTCGGGAGGCAGAGCCAGGCGGATCTCTGTGAGTTCGAGGCCAGCCTGGTCTCCAAAGCGAGTTCCAGGAAAGGCGCAAAGCTACACAGAGAAACCCTGTCTCGAAAAACCAAAAAAAAAAAAAAAAAAAAAAAAAAGCATGTACCACCACCACCACCTGGCTCAGAATATTACGTTTTGTTATGGCATTTTTTAAAAAATTTATTTATTTATTATGTATACAGTGTTCTGCCTTCATGTATGCCTGCAGGCCAGAAGAGGGCACCAGATCTCATTACGGATGGTTGTGAACCACCATGTGGTTGCTGGGAATTGAACTCAGGACCTCTGGAAGAGCAGCCAGTGCTCTTAACCTCTGAGCCATCTCTCCAGCCCTTGTTATGGCATTTTTATTTGTAGAAGTCATTATATTTTATTCTGATTTCTTTCTTTCCCTCACCCACTGCCCTCTCCATATTCCCTTCCCCACTCTGACAGATTCCCTTCCTTGCCCCAAATAATGTCACACGTATTCTACTACCCTCTCTTCCCCCGCCCTCTTCTCATTGTCCCCTTTCTAGTTTTATGATGATTTTTGAATGATTTTTTTTTTAAAAAAACAAGAATTGAGGTGGACTTTGTCTTCCAGGACCTAGATACAACAAGCAAGTTGCTGTACAGTGACAAGAAGTGAAACTCACACTCTGAAAGGAGAGAAAGCATTCTGAACACGTTGTCACTTGTTTGCCAGGTAGGTATGTTCAAGGGAATAAAAGAGATATTAGTCCTTTGTGGGAAATGTAGACAAAAATGCTTTTAAATATGGTAAACATGAAAACATTGCAATTATTTGATGTTTTTCACAGATTTTCTCAGTTGTTAATGAAATTCACATCCAGGCTTATTGTGCAAATTGAGGTAACCTGAACAAGAATAGCACCATAGACTTGCTCAGTAAATGTTCATTGCCTCCCACTGTTGAGGTAGTATTCGAGAATATCAGGAACTGTATACATCACAACATTTACTGCACCACATTATAATCACAAAAGGTTCTAATCTGAATTGTACACAGCAATGTATTTAATAGTTTCTTATGTAATAGGACTTACTTAACAAAGTCTGAAGTTAGAGAGGTTTTGTGTATTCAGTCCAGGAGTAGGACTGCAGCTCTCTTTGGAACTCTTGGCAACCTATTGGTGGGGTGGGGTGGAGGGATCAGTCCCTTTGTGTAGTTTAAATCAGAATTGGCTGGAGAACTGAACAAATGCCCGTTCATTCCATCTGGGCTGAGGCCCTGGCATTGTTTGCTTTAGTTTTTGTTTGATTTCCTCGCATGATTCTAATTCATGGTCAGGGGTAAGAAGCATCTGTGGTGATAGCATGAGGCTAGGTTTAGGGAGCTGCTGAAGCAAAGACACGGCTGGGCCGTGCCTGTCTGTGATTGAGAGTAGTGAAGGCAGAGGGACAGGGTGAGGTGTTGTTCATCACATGGACAGAGCCTAGACTCCATCCTGTGAGTAGAAGGGAATGTCTAAAGGACTTTAAGCAGAAGAAAATACATGCATAAGAGTTAATGAAGCCAAACTCTGCAAGGAAAACCATCTGTAACTCCAGTCCAGGAGGATCTGATACTTTCTTCTGGCCTCCACAGGCACCAAGCATGTATGTTGTGCACAGACATAAATGCAGGCAAGCAAAATACCTATACATATAAAATTACAAAAAAAGAAAAGAATTTTCTTCAAACTTGAAAAAAAAGATCCTACAATAGGGGAATTTTAAAATACATTTATATGGCATATGAATTTGCATAAAGGAAATAGTGGTATTCTTACTTTTCACAACTTTTCTGTAAATCTAAAAGTATTTCTAAATAAAGAGTAAGTGGGTCATCTGGATGTGACCCTGTTTTCCCAACAGCTCAAGTGTCAGCACATTGTATCCTGTTGACTTTCAGTGTTCACTAGACCTGCTTCCCAACCTGTAATATGTTTCTTTATATTGGTTCAGACAGTAGTATCCCCACTTTTGTTTCCTTTTTTATATTCAGAAAAGTATCACTATAAAGATTATAAAGGCATTAAGTATCTCAATCTCATAACTGAATATAAGGAGAAAATAGCCCAATATTTGCTTAGCATTATCTTATGGATGCTTACATGAGCATGATTTCATTCCCAACACAATCACCAAATTCCATCCAATATGAACTAATTTTTTTTGAGACAGGGTCTCATGCATTTCAAGCTAGCCTCAAATTTTCTATGTATCTAAAGATTGCATTAAAACTCAAGTTCTTTTTGTCTCCATCCCCAAGTGCTGGGATTGTAAACATACACCACCGTGCTAGGTTCCTGAATAATCTTAATCTAGAAAGATACTGATTTGTACAGTTGGAGGTGGATAAGTTATAGCTGATATTCTAGCAAGTCTTTGAATGTTCTGCTGAAACTTTGCAGAGCCATTTTTTTCCTTCAGCTAATGAGAATAAAGGTCTTGAAAGTTGAGTAGTTCGAATTCCTGTATTATCTAATCTGCCACACCCATTTATATCACATTACTCCTTCAGAAAACAACACATGGAAAACTGGCAGAAGTGCTAGTTCATGCTTCAGGAGCTGCAACTAGTAAAGGCAAGCTTAAAAAGATTGAACCTTGAACCATCTTTTTTTTTTTCTTTACAGCTGTGAAGATGTCTGACAAAAAACAAATCATTGCCAGGGCTTCCCTGATTGAGCAGCTGGTGTCTAAAAGGTATTTTGAGGATATTGGCAAACAGCTTACTGAGCTAGAAATGATTTATGTGTCTAAGGAGCATCTCCAGGAGACAGATGTAGTTAGAGCTGTATACAGAGTCCTCAAAAACTGCCCCTCAGTGACTTTGAAAAAGAAGGCCAAGTGTCTGCTAGCCAAGTGGAGAGCTTTCTATAAGAGTACACCCTTCAAAACAAAGGAAAGCCTCAAATCACTCCATTCTGATGTTAGTAAAGAAGAAAGTGCAGCAGTTTCTCAGGATGTGAGCCAGGATGAGGCATTAGGTTCTAGTCATGATGAGATATCAGGTCTCTGCAGTTCTCTCTCTAAGATGGCATCCCAAGATGCTGCAAAGCCCGCTGCAGCAATTGGGTCTGAAAGTAGCACCACTCAAATGGAAATTAGTGAATATTTGAGGGGTGATGATTCTGAATCTACTAGCGAGAGCTCAAGTGTGTTACAAGATCCCCTAGTGTCTGTTAGATCTAAAGGTGTAGAGCTTCTTTACACAGCATTAGCTAGTTCTTCCACAGATCACACAAAAACTGATTTGTGGCAGAACTTGGCAAGAGAAATTGAAGAGCACATTTTTACTCTTCATTCAAGCAACATCAAAAAGTATAAAACTTGTATTCGAAGCAAAGTTGCCAATTTGAGCAACCCCAGGAATTCTCATTTACAACAAAACCTCCTCTCTGGAACCATGTCTGCAAGAGAATTTGCTGAAATGACTGTCCTGGACATGGCAAATGAGGAGCTGAAGCAGTTGAGAGCTTCCTACACAAAATCCAGTATTCAGGAACATCACCTTCCCAACACAGTTGATGGTACACAGACAAATAAAATAAAGTGCAAGCGCTGTGAGAAATACAACTGCAAGGTCACTGTAATTGCCAGAGGAACACTTTTCCTTCCAAGTTGGGTGCAGAATTCAAACCCAGATGAACAAATGACCTATGTCATTTGTAATGAATGTGGGGAGCAGTGGTACCATAGCAACTGGGTGTGCTTGTAATTTGTAAATAATCCCTTCAGGGGCATGTGTTTTATATGTATAACATAGCCCTTTTGTACTCATTTTTTACAGAATCTTACTGTTATTTTTGTCTTGGTGATTTTGGTTTGTGAAAGATCTCACTATGTAGCCAAAGCTGGCCTCGGTCTCCTGAGTTCTGGGATTACAGGTGTACACTACCGTAATGCCTGGTTTGGTATACTGTTCTTACTACAGTCCTGGGAATAAAGAAAGAGAGTTGTTTGCCAAAGGACAAGCCGCAATTGCTAAAAGTTGTTTGGGAAGAGTAGAAGACTATCACGTTGTACTTTGTGGCCATTTAGTACTTTAATCGGAATGGCACTGTAGCTCCACACAGCCTGAAAGCATGTTAGAGAGGCAGATTCTCTAGCCCAATACTCCTTGAGTCCTTATGTGCATCTTGGCAGAATCTCCAGGTCATCCTCTGGGATACTTTGAGAAGCACTGATATAGCTGCAGGCCTGGGGGTCTCAGGAGTAAATATACAGTAGAGTTTTCTGGTTAGCATTGAAGTATACTGGTACCGAGAGGCAAGCCTGAACCTATGGCATGGGACCAAGGCATCAACATTGCTCTGGTCATTTCTCAGTTTACTTTAAGTTGCAGTTAGAGTTGAGTCTCTCATTTGAGCCTTTCTATAGTTCTGAAGAAATGAATGTTGTTCTGGAGACTTTACATATGAGGAAAGAGGCCCACAGAGCTTCAGTGGCTTAACCAGGTTATATAACTATAGGTAATCTGCCTCACACTGATCCCATATTTTCCAGCTTCCTTCTGAAGCAAGTGTGATGGCACATGCCTGTAATCCAAATGCTAGGGAGGATGAAGCAGGATTTATGTGAGTTCAGGGACAGTTTAGATTGTAAAGTCCCTGTCTCAAATATATATATATTAAAAGAGCATTGTGGTGGTTCAAGCCTGTAATCCTAGCATTGGAGATCCTGAGGCAGAATCCCATGGTTGAAGCTAGCCGGGATTATGTAGAGAAACAATGCCAAAACAAAAAGATGCAAAGTCTGAGAACGTCTTAATACTGACTTTACAAAAAGTGTACCTCTGGAAATGGGTGCTAAGCAAATAGCGTTTGGAGCCTCTAAGTTTACATGACTAGAGTTTTATCCTTTTGTCTTTAATTTTCTTGTTTTTACAAGTCTGTCTTTAAAAAAGTTGCACTGTAAGTTAGAATTTGGCTTAGAGCTATGCATTTTTTCCTTTGTGTGAGCTCTTCATAAAGTCTTTATGATACATAGTTTCTTATTGTTAGGAATCTTCCATGTCTTCAAATGCATGTGTATTAAAAATCCTGTTTATATGAAAATGGTGCTAGTTGTCAGAGGAGGTTCACGCCCTCCGCCTTTGAATTTATCAACATTTATTTACCTATTAACTGAAGAGGAAATCACTTCTCTAAGGCCTTTGCGAACAGTGTTTACTGATTTGTATGCATAATTTTATGCGATTATGACTATTTTTTTCCTTTAAAATGATAGAATATTTGTTATTTGGAGTTTTGATTTTTTAACATATAAAACAATTTTAGGCATGATCCACACAGAAGCTTGGATATGTACTCCTTTTACAGTTTAGTAGGTGTTTAGAGACACATTTTTTTCTTTTGTTGTTTGACAGAGCCATGTGAGTAGTTTCTGTTTTTATAAGACTGTCTCCACTCTGTAGCCCAAGCTGGGCTTGAACTCACACTGGCTAACCTCAATCTCTGGAGTGCTGTGGTTTGGGGTATAAGCTACCATTCATTGATTTTTATCATATTAAAGAGTATATTTCTTAGTTCCATGTAAACTCACATGTTTTCATCAGTTATTGTTCCTTAAATCCCCAGTATTCCTTCAATAGAATCTATAGGCTTTTTCTGTATATTTTACCTCCTCATGACAGTTCCCCAACAGATGCATAACACTAACATGCACTTCTATTTCATATGTTTTAAAGAAACCAACTTGAGGCTGTCAAATCTGAATTACATTTTGTTGTATTTTCTCCATTTTGCATTCCAGGGCTGTTCATCGTAATGCAATGTGTTAGTCCTTTAAACAGAAATTTACAAAGTCATCAAAAACTCAAAAGTTTCACAAAGTGTGGTTTCATGTGATTTGGAATGATCTTAAAACCTGGATGGTGGTTATATGAGAGTACACACAGCACATGAAAACCAAGTTTAATTTGTTTAAGTTGGTGTTGGTATTGGGGTTTTCTATGTATCTGTGTATGAGTATTTGTATTGAGATTTTGTAACCTACATTTACCAAAAATAAAAGCACTCAAAATGGAAAAATCTCTTATTCTCCAAGATTTTTTTCCAAGATTTTTTTAAAATGTGTGTGGTCCTCATTTCCCATAAGCTTTGTCAGTTAGTTTTGTAACTAGGGAAATGGTGATATGGGTTTTATTCTTTCGGTCAATGAGACAGTTACATCTTCTGAGTATAGATCATTCTTTCACACTGTGTCTTATACCAGAGCGAGAAAGTGTGAGGGAGGGAGGGATGAGTGAATTTATTTGTTTGTTTGAGACAGGATTTCTTTATGAATCCCTGACTTCCTGAAACTAGCTCTGTAGACCAGGCTGGCTTTGAACTCACAGAGATCTTCCTGCCTCTGCCTTCCAAGTGCTGGGGGATTAAAGGCACGCAAGAAAGAGTTTCTTTACAGTTGCTGGTAGGGTAGATTCTAATTTAAAATTGCCCTTATAGGAACAAAGAGCAACTGTGAAAACTCCAAGATGAGAAGGTGCCTGATTATAAGAGACAACTGATGTGAATGAGAGACAGTGTGAAAGAGCCACAGAGTTCATGATAATGATAAAGACTTTGGGGAAGAAAAAACATTAAAGCCAAGCAATTGGTTGTCGTGGGATTTGAGTGCCTTTTAGGAAGATCATTGTAGCTGCTTTGTTGAGTGATGAGAGAAACAAGGATGGATGTGGGAACACCAGTTAAGTGGCCATTAACAGTGGTCAAATAAAAAGAGGAGCTGGAGAGATGGCTCAGCAGTTAGAGCACTGGCTGTTCTTCCAGAGGACCTGGGTTCAATTCTCAGCACCCACATGGCAGCTCACAACTGTCTGTAACTGCAGTTCCAGGGAATCTGGCACCCTCGCACAGATGCACATGAAGACAAAACAGCAATTCGAGTAAAACTTTTTAAAAGTGAAAAAAAAGTACAGAAAGAATGGTTTGTCTGCATCATGATAGTTGATGGAGCCCTTAGCAGTTTTGCAAATGGCTGTTTCATAAAATATGCCCAATTCAAAATTTCCTCCCTATGGTCAATAGTCAAATAACAGTGCAAAATGTCAGCCTGTGCCCCAGTCTCCATGGTAACTACATAGGGTGAAAACATCCATTTTAATACCTGAATGTGGGAAGGTTTTCTCCATGGGTTTTCCCGAATCAGTCTCCTTTGTCTGTACTTTTTAAAGTGAAGAATTGAGTACAATTGTGGCTCTGTCTCTTCCCTGGGTATTTCCTGTGATGAGAGGCTTCTTTCATTCCCTGATACCATTTCTAAGTGCCAGGCAGGAAGCTTGCGGCTGGCAGTACTCCACTGCCTTTGCTGGGGCTGGGCCTTCCTCTTTTAGGTCAAATTGCTTTGTTTTTTTTTTTTATAATGCCCAGCAAATGCAAAATATTTTGCCACAGTATTTTTATGTCTCCCAGAGGTACTTATTAAGCACCCAGATTGTAAGAAGTAACTTTTTAGTTTCAGAAGAGTGCCATAATCAGATGGACCAACCAATGACAACTTCATGCAATCCTCTTTATATTTAAAATAAGGTCGCCAAAGATGTTACCACACCCTGTCAGAAACTTGTGTTGAAAGGATCGAACATTTTGCCTTGCCAGATGCTAACTCTTCTGACACACAGGAGCCTCCTTGAATCCTTTTTGTGATATCATGTGGCTCTCTGCTGTTTTGAAAAGTGGGTGATTTTAGAATTTAAAAAGTTAAAAAATAAAATAGAAAAACATACATGCAAGGTAGCTGAGGCTTGCCTCAAAGTTCTTATATGAATTTTTTGTGGATGTATATTCTTACTTTCTTTAAAGATGAAAACGAGCTGGGCAGTGGTGGTGTGCGCCTTTAATCACAGCACTAGGGAAGCTGAGGTAGGTGAATCCCTGAGTTCCAGGTCAGCCTGGTCTACAGAGCAAGTTCCAAGGGCTACACAGAGAAACCTGTCATGAAAAAAAAGTGAAACATGAATATGAGAGTCAGTTCCAGGCACTCATCATTGTCGTCAACATCACTATTATTATTTCAGATAGCATCTCATGTAGACCAGGCTGGGTTTGAACTCACTACTCACTGTGTAACCATAGCCAAAGATGACCTTGAATGCCTGATCCTCCTTTTCCCACCTCCCCAGTGCTGGGATTATAGGCATGCTTGATTTTATGGGGTACTGGAGATTGAACCCAGGACTTTGTGCATTCTAGGCAAATGCTCTACAGACTGAACCACATCCCTAGCCCTGTTAATCCTTTTCAAATGATGACACATTTCTGAAAATCTAAAGCAGACACGGAAAAGTTACAAAACTAAGAAGCAAATTAAAATATTATTCATTTAGAAACTGCTTTTTATCTTCAGAATATAATCACTTCTGAAATGATGTAAACACAGATGCAGCTGCTTATAAAAGATGCCAAATGGCATCATAATTTACCACATTTACCTTTGTGGATTGAAAGAAAACATTAAGAAATTTCCAAGAGTATCCATGAGGCCCTGAGTCATCTGACTGGACTCCACCTACTGTGCCTCTCCTTAAATCAGTGGTTCTCAAGCTTCCCAATGCTGTGACACTTTAATACAGTTCCTCATGTTGTGACTCCCAACCATAAAATTATTTTAGTTGGTACTTTATAACTGTGATTTCACTACTGTTATGAATTATAATTTAATATCTGTGTTTTCTGATGGTCTTAGGCAACCCCTGTGAAAGGGTCGCTTGACCCACAAGGGGGTCGAGACCCATAGGTTGAGAAACACTGCCTTATACGATGGAGGACTGAAAGCTACAAAACCAGTTTCAATTTCCTTGGCCACAATATGACCACAATATGGCACTTATCTAATCTGCATCATACATAACTCGTATCTGACAGCTGAATTCATGCATAGCTCGGTGGAAGAAAGCTAGGGTCTGTATCCACCCATGTCTAACAGCAAAGGTCCCACAATTTTAAGTGGATTTTGTGTCTTGGTATTCATGAGGCCACTGGGCAGGCTGGTCTTAGTTTCAGGCAGAAGTTTCTATTTCTGCAGTTTTGTTTCCATTCAGTAGATGGGCTTTTTTGCTCATAGCTTTGCAAAATCTCACAAATGGTTGAGCAGAAAGTTTCTATATAACTTTAACGAACGTACTTTAAAATGAGGTAAAAGGGACACAGAATTTTCAGGAGTGGAGCTCGAAATCTAAAATGGTCTTATAATATGAAACCTGGAACCAGATATTGGGGTAAATGCTGAAAGATCAGAGACAAAGGAAAAAGCCACTGCCACGTCTTATCTCTAGGACTCCTCAGCCTGAAAAAGCTCAGCCGAAAGCCTTCAATTCCTATCTCCTCATACCTTATATACCTTTCTCTGCCAAGCCATATCACTTCCTTCCTAGTGCTGGGATTAAAGGCATGTGTGCTTCCCAAATACTACTTGTAGCAAAGGCATGAGATCTCAAGTGCTGGGATTAAAGACTTGTGATTCCCAAGTATTGGGATTAAAAGTGTGTGCCATCACTGCCCAGCTCTGTTTCTCTCCTAGACTGGATCAATCTCATGTAGTCCAGGGTGGCCTTGAACTCACAGAGATCCAGATGGATCTCTGCCTCCTGAGTGCTAGGATTAAAGGTGTGTGTCACCACTGTGTGGCATTTATGTTTAATCTAGTGGCTTGTTCTGTTCTCTGATCTTCAGGCAAATTTATTAGGGTACACAATGTATCACCACACAGAAGTAATAAAAATATATGATAGCCTGGTATGCACAGGCTTCTAATTCCAGCACTCAGGAGGCAAAAGCAGATAGATCTCTGTGCTTTCCAGGCCAGCCTGGTCTATATAGTGGGTTCCAGGATAGTGAGGGCTACATAGAGAGACCCTGTCTCAAAACAAACAAACAAAAAACAGGCTAAAGAAATGGCTCAGAAGTTAAGAGCACTGGCTGTTCTTCCAGAGGTCCTGAGTTTAATTCCCAGCAGCCACATGGTGGCTCACAACCATCTGTAATGAGATCTAATGCCCTCTTATGGAATTCAGGCATGCATGCAGACAAACTGTATACATAATAAATAAATAAATAAATAAATAAATAAATAAATAAATAAATAAATAAATAAATAAATAAATAAATAAAATAAATCTTTACCCAAAAAAAAAAATAAATAAATAAATGCCCTAAAATTGTTGGTCAATGGGTACTGAATTGTAGTCAGGAGAAGGAAGTCTGGTTTCCTATTGCCTGGTGGGTAACTACAGATAGCAACTATGCACTATCTTTAAAAAGTCACAAGAAGGGAATGTAGCTCTGTTGGTAGTATACTTACACAAGGCCTTGGGTTCAGTCCTTAGCACAACATTAACCTGGCATGGTGCTACCCTACTCACCTGTAATCCTAGCATTTCAAAGGTAGCATTTCAAAGGTAGAAGCAAGAGGATCAGAAGTTCAAGGTCATCCTCAGCCACATAGCAAGTTCAAGCCATGAGTTCTTTCTCAAAAAAAAAAAAAAAAGTTAAGCCTGGAGATGTAGCTGAGTGGTAGAACTACTAGCATGCATGAGGTCCTAGGTTAATCCTCAACATCAATCAATAAATAAATAAATAAATTCAGCAACTATTGAGTTGTTGCATTGGCAGTATGTTAAGTGCCAGTGAGGTGGTTCAGCAGGTAAAAGCGCTTACTGCCAAGCCTGACGACATGGGTTCAATCTCTGGAGCCCATAAAGTAGAGTGAAAACTGACCCAGCGAGTTGGAGTACTCTGACCTGCACACACTGCTGTGGAGCACATGCATGCACGCACACAACAAATACATTAATAAACTTTTTAAAAATTAAGTTACAAGAAAAGATATCGAATGCTTTTGCTCAAAAAACGTAATGTTTAATAAAACAAAATGTTAACCTGATTTCATCACTTAATACATACATGTATGGAAACATCACATGGTACACCATTAAGTTATACAATTTTGTGGTTTTGGATATTGGTGATTTATTATATGCCCATGGTTCAATCCCCATCACCAAAGATGCATATATTTTATTAGATCAAAAAC